ATGGATATAAAATACCCAGGATGCTATAAAATCACCACGGTCTTTAGTCAGGCACCAACGGTAGTTTAGTGTGTTGGCTGCTCCAATGTTCTCTTCCAGCCTACAGGAAGAAAAGTAAGCTTACAGAAAATATTCCTTCAGACAGAAGCAGCACTAGAACATCCTGCATCAAGATGAGTGGGAAACCATCTCAATAAACACATTTTGTATGTTTAAAATAACTAAAATATGAAATATATAGGTATAATTCTAACAAAACATGCAAAATTTATATGCTGAAAAATACACAATACTGATAAAAATAAATCAAAAGATATTTAAATAAATAGACATACTGCATTCATGGATTGGAAGACTCAGCATAATAAAGATGCTGATTTTTCCAAATTGATAAACTACTCAATTCCTATTTTTTAAAAACCAAGCAAGATTTCTTTTTATACAAACAAGTTTATTCCAAAATTTATATTGAAAGGCAAAACAACTAGAGCAGGTAAAAACAATTTTTTTAAAAAAGAATGAAATGGGAGGAATCCATCTGCCCGCTTTCAAGACTTACTATACAGTTAAGTTAGAGTAATCAAGACTATGGTACTGGTGGAGATACAGACACACGGTTCAGTGGAACAGAAAGAAGAACCCAGAAACAGACCCACGCCAATATCCCAACTCATTTTTGACAAAGGTGCAAAGGCAACTCAGTAAAGGAAAGATACACTTTTCAATGAATGGTGCTGGAACAATTAGACATCCATAGGCAAACACATATGACACATTATATAAAAATTAACTTAAGATGGATCATAGACTAATACAAAAAATGTAAAACTATTTTACTATTAAATCGGGATTTAGAGCTAAGCAATAAGTTCTTAGACTGGAACAAAAACATGATTCATAAAAGGAAAAGTTATAAATTGGATATCATAAAAATTAAAAATTTAATCTCTGCAAAATACCTTTTTAAGAGAATAAAAGAGACAAACTACCAACCGGGAGAAAATATTTGAAAGTCACATAAATGATAAAGGACTAGTACCTAGGTATATACAATCAGTTTTCCACATCCACAGATTCAACATCATGGATCAAAAACAATATTCCCCAAAAAGTTACATTGTTGCTGACATATACGATATAGTTAGGCCTACAATGGTTGTGTCTGTACTGAACATATATAGACATTTTTCTTGTCATTATTCCCTAAGTAATACAGTAATTTATATAACATTTACATTGTATTAGGTATTATAAGTAATCTAGAGATGATTTAAAGTATATGGGAGGATGTGGGCAGGTTATATACAAATATATCATTTTACATAAGGGACATGAGCATCCAAGGATTTTGTCATCTGTGTGGGTGCTAAGTATACCAAGGGATGACTGTGTGAAGAACTTTCAAAATTCAATGGTAAAAAGCAAACGATCCAATTAAAAAATGGGCAAAAGACATAAGTGACATTTCACCAAAGTGGATATATAAATCCAAATAAGGATATAAAAGATGTGCAACACCATTAGCCCTACTAGAGAAATGTAAATTAAAGCTAAAATGAGTCTAGAGCTATGCCACCCTGAACATGGCCAATCTCGTCTAATCTCGGAAGCTAATCAGGGTTGGGCCTGGTTAGCATTTGGATGGGAGACCACCTAGGAATACCAGGTGCTGTAGATGTTAAATAAATAAATAAATAAATAAATAAAAATTTTAAAAAACTAAAATGAGATATCACTATATACTTATCAGAATGGCTAAATTTAAAAATAGGGACAATACCAAATGCTGGTGAGGTTAGAGAGAAACTGTCACTCATACATTACTAGTGGAAATGTAATGTGGTACAATCACTCTAGAAAACAGTTTGGCCGTTTCTTTAAAACCTAAACATACGACCACCATACACACAAGCAGTTACACTCCTGAGCATTTATCCTAGAGAATTAAAGATTTCTGTTCACACAAAAACCTATACAAATTTTTATAGCAGCCAAAACATATGTATGTGGTACATACATATCATGGAATACTACTCAGCAATAAAAATGAAGAAACTAGAGATACATGCAACAACCTGGATGAATCACCAGGGAATTAGGCTGAGTGATAAAAGCCAACCCCAAAAGATTATATACTGCATGATTCCTTTTATATAACATTCTGAAAAATTACAAAATTATAGAAATGAAAAAAGATATTAATGGTTGCCAAGGGTTAAGGAAGAAGTGAGAATAAGAAGAAAGTACCTATGGCTATAAAACGGCAAGATGAGGGATATCATGGTGATGGAAAAGTTCTGTACCTTAACTATATCGATGTTGATATCTTGATTGTGATAATTTACTATCATTTACAAGCTGTTATCTTTAGGGGAAACAGGGTAAAGGGTACATGGGATCTCTGTATTATTTCTCATAAGTACATGCAAATCTACAATTATATCAAAATACAGACATAGCTTGTTTTATTGTTTCACTTTATTGTGTTTCACAGATATTGCATTTTCATCAACATTGAAGCCAGACTCTCCACCAACATTGAGGCCAGACCATCCACCAACAATAATATTATGACATATTATTTAGCAATAAAGCATTTTAATTAACATTGTTTTTAGACATAATGCCAATGCACACTTAATAGACTGCAGTATAGTATAAACATAACTTTTATATGCACCGGAAACCAAAAAATTCATGTGACTCCCTTTATTGTGATATTCACTGTTTGTGGTGGTCTGGAACCAAACATGCGATATCTCTGACATACATCTGTTAAAAGCTTAATTTTTAAAAGCATATTAACAACATTTTTGACAAAGCAAGATGACAAGGTACCTTCATGAACCTCAAAATACAAGTTGGTGGGGTTAAACTATTAACAGTTACAAGATCTGCCTAGAATAAGTGTCTGTGCTGGAGACGCCAGGGAAGCGACCAGGCATTTGACATACCTGCAAATATGATAAATGCCAAAGGGCCAATAGGCACTCACTGGAAAACACAGCAGACCAAAACAGGACAGCAAATGAAACTAGGAGGAGTCTGCCCAAACCAATAGCAGTTGAACACAAGGGGTCTGGGTAAGGTTAGAAGGGCGTGCAGTGGGCTTGCCCCTAAGAAACCTCTGAACTGACCATCCAGGCACCTTTCCAAGGTAGCGCCCTACACTGAGGAAAACTTGCGGTGGTAGAACAAAAATTGAGCCAGGCAGGGATGAGGAGATGAGGAAAAGAAGTTCAAAGTGAGGGAAGCAAATAGAGTCTGGAACTCTCAAAGTACAAGCTGCCATATTTTTGAGCACTATGCAAAAACAACAGGAGAGGGGCTCAAGAAAATGAATTTCATGTAAAAAGAATAGCAGGAAAAGACTAAAGCTGTATCTTATATAAAGTTAGTGTAAGAAGAAAATACGGAACAGAATAAAATCCTTACAGACAATGAAAGCACACCAGAAAAATTATGCTACCAAAAAGATTAAACTATAACCTAGTTCAAAACAAGCTAAAAGTCATTAAGAAAGTGTTAGAAGATATAAAATAAAAACATGCATCACAACTGTAAAATCTCTAAATAGACAATAATATTGTACTATAATAATGTAATGTGCTAAATGTTTCTTTAATGGCAATCATACTATGATATAAAAGTATATCAAAGTAATATGCTATATACCCTAAATTTACAAAATGCAACATGTCAAATTTATCACATTTTATGATTTTTTGAAGAAGAATCAGAAAATCCCAGAAATATACTGACAGTGCTCAGGAAATAATTAGAAATATTTTACAAATCCACTTCAGAAATGAAGACTAAATTAAAAGAAACAGAAGAACAAATAAGCATGAGGAAGACAGACAGCCTCAACAGAGAGAAGGTGAAAAGGAGAACAATTTTTTTAATGAAAAATAAATAAGATATTAAAAAGATTAATTAGAAAAGACAAATATTGAAGATACACCAAAAATATCTAACATGTAGATGATAAGAATCTCTGAAAAAGAAAAACCAAAGGAAATACTAAAAAAAAACTCAATAAAACATTCCTAAAGTTAAAAAAAGATTTGAACGATGTATTGAAAGAAAATGTGGTTTATTTGAGAAACTCAACTCAAACAACCAAAACCAAGATATAGTCTAATAAAATTTCTGGATATTAAAGAAGAAAAAGATACCACCTGGGTATCCCAGCAAAAATAGTGACTTAGATTATCATCAGACTTTTCGATAGTAATGTTACATGAAAATATAGTAACATTATATTAAGATATTGCGATAAAGCATATAAATGAAGGAATGATAGAATTAGAATACCCCAACTCCGCAATCCCCAATGAATTAAAAAGGGCCTAGGCAATGAGCATCGATGGTTCCTAACATTGCTGAAAGAGAGACAACCGGATATTGTGTTCCTCACGGTGAAAAACCACAACACCACCTATAGACTTTCCAAAGGAACCAAAGGTAAGTCTGATCCACCTTCAGCATCCAGATGCCAACTTGCAGGAAAGGCAAAAGACAGCAAGACATGTTAAACTGCAGGTATATGCAAAATTCAGCAAAATCCAGACTACGGAAAATTTTGTAGGTCAAATGGCTTTTCAACATATTAATCATAAGGAAAAGAAAGGGCTAAAGGGGAAACCTGCAAAGTGTTAAGAGGCGTAAAAGACAATTAAGCTGTATTGTCCAGGAACTCATACTTGAGCGACTAGACTTTAAATGCCCAAGAAGTGGTTGCCATAGCAGTCAGGATACAATTACCTTCGAGAGTAGGGAGGGGGTTTGATTGGACTGAGGCACATGGAGACAGCGGTGGCTGGCAAAGTTCTATATCTTGACCTGAATGGTGATTATAGGTGTTTTGCCTTCAATAGTTCATTAAGTTACATATTCGTGTGGTTATCTGTACCTCAGTTTTATTTTACAATAAAAATTTTAAATAATGAAAAGGAAACAGTGACAATCTGAGCATCTGTCCTCTGAAGACTGTGGGGACTGCAGTTGGAAGAGAAAGACTTGGGGTAACAACATAAAGGTTTGGGGCTGGACCATAGAAAAGTAAGCAGTTTGGGACTGGAAGGAGGAATCTTAAAGGGATTTCTGGACACTCCTTGGAAATGGGGACTCGTGACATAAAAAAGTAAGCGGAGGATGGGCAGAAGGGTGAGAGATGCATGATCTCAGAATACAAAAGTCCAGAAGCAGTTCAGGCCTCCTCCAAGGCCTTGCAGAATAGAGTTGCTTGGGAACACTGACCTCGTGGACGTCCTTCACTTAGTCTAGGGCCCAGGCCACTCAGTCCTACCCCAAACTCCAGGGGGCGAAGCTTCTGTTAGGACTTTAGTATGTCAGTGGTGGCAGAACAGATCTTGAGACCTGCAGGGACAGTGACAAATGTCTTTCCCAGTGCAGGGACTCAGCAGACAGAGCCACCCTTACTTCATATCCCCATGACGTCTCCCTCTGGCCAAAGGATTGAGAGAGAATGATCTGCTACCCAAAGACAAGGAAGAAGATATTACCTTATCACCAGACAGCTGAGTCTCTGCATATCCTGGAATGAAAGAGAGGAAAGAAACAGAACATCCTAATTAGGACTAAATGCGATTATCCTGAGAGATGGGGAATGACCTGCAATATCAGAGCTCTACCTCTGCTTACCCCTCAGATGTTTCTGGCTTCAGAAAAAACTTCCCCGTGATCCTGAGATGCATAATTAGCCTCCCCAGCCTCATATCTTTGATGTTAGGAAAGTGGGAAAACCACGTGGAAGGTGGCAGGGTCCTCTCCAGAGGTCCATTACCTTTCTGAGCCCTAAGGTGGACGGCGATCCCCACCAGAAGGAACATTAGTCCAAGCAGGAAGGCAATCACTCCACTTAGCATCTTTCTCCAAGAATATTCAGACTGAGCTCCTACGGGAAACAGGTCTTAAAGTTAGTAAAAAGCTCCCAGTATTTGGTGTGCCTTCTTGAAGTCCCAGAGCCTGCGCTGGACACAAATCCAATGCTATCTGGAGAAAATACATTTAGAAATGGTTCTTTGAATCCAAGGTTTGCATCCATAGAGTTTCTGTTCCTGATTCTTATAGCCCATTAGAATGCCCCCTAAATACCAAGACCAAAGTATTAGAGGATACTAGTTCTCAATGTTGGAAGTAAGTGACAAAGTGATTATACCTCCTTATTTCTTGGAAGATGTGAGAATAGATATTTATCATGCTTTCTCCCACCCTGACTCAAGGATGCCAGTGACCCCCTGACTCCCTCATATCCGGGGAAAGAAAAATTAGTGTTATGACCAAGAATAATGTGGACGTAACAAAGGCCCTGTATTGTGTCCGTACAACCCTGAGTCAGGCCCCGGAAAGTACAAGAAGCTGATTCTCACTCCATTCCACTGAAACAGGGCTCAGCAGGCTGGCATGATCAACAAGGCAGGTATAGACATCTCCAAATTCAGGAGTCATTTCCAGCATCACCGTTATCTGAAAAGTCCAGTCTCCATTCCTGATAAGGCCAGTGGACATGACCCCTGCCCTCTCTTCCTGCCCATTCCGGAACCACCTGATCTTGATGTCCCCTGGATAGAAATCTGTCACAGAGCAGAGCAGGACGTTATGGTGCTGCAGGGTTGGGAGCTTCTCCAGATATACTGTCACCTCTGGTTGCACTAGAAAGGGAGAGAAAAATGAGACATGGTGAAGGAAAACCACAAAGCAAACAGAGTTTGTTTTGGGACTATCTCTGTCCCTAATCTCTTTCCCAGACCACTCAAGAGGAAACTGGAAATGTGAGGAAATCTCAGAAACTGGATATGTGAGTACCCCCATGAGGATTTAAGCTTTATCAGACATCCCCACAATTATCCCCTTGTGTTTGAGAGCACACTAGTCTTTAAAGTTCCTAAGAACCTGGAGGTCCTGGGAACAAAATCACAGTGTCCTGACCTGTGAGGATAAGTGAGTCATAACTGGTAACAGAACATATACACAGATTCCCTTGCTCCTAACCCATTTGTCCTGAAGCAGGAAATTGCCTGTTATAAGGAAGGGCGATGGCCAGATTGAAATGGGGGAGATTCCTGAACCCATCAGATGTCATCTTCGACCTCACCTTTTCTCCCCACAGTGAAGGGTGCACCCAGCTTGTAGTTGTGTCTGCAGAGCGCATCCACAGAAGCTCTACTTCTCTCCAATATATCTGGCCGATTGTTCCACAACTCAACATCAGGCTGCCCTAGCTCAGTCAAGGCCACAAACATTCCCACATCACTGTCGAAATGTGCATACTCCTCCAAGTTAAAGATGAATCTGACCACAAACTGCACCCTTTCTGTCCCATTGGTGAAGTAACAGTCAGCCTTTGCCTGAATCACAAAATCTTCTAGAAAATCAAATAAGAAAAAGATTATAAATCAGCCCCCACCTTTAGGAAACCCATACCTGGTAAATTATGCCAGAGTACATCGATTTGAGAAGTGGCCTTTGAGCTCAGTAAATAGGCCAAAGAAGCCTTTTCTCCCCATGGGTCCAACTCTGTTTCCCCTTAGCAAGAGACATCCACAGTGGGAAGAAGTCTGCAGCTCATCCTACCAGACCAGTCAAACAGGAGACATATAACCCAAAGAAGCAAACCAAAGAGAGTCCCGAGAGACATAAACATTCATTCAACAAATATTTATTCATTTTACAAATGTTTATCAACTGTGCTTTGCCAGATACTGTACTAAGTTTCTCCAAACCAATTTTTCAGAAGCCCAAGGTTTGAACCCCTTTATTATCAAGTCAAAAGATCCATTTCCATATGGAATAAGTCAGTAGTATTCCTGCCCTTAGTTGGTTCGTTCCATACATTCCCTCTGAAGTAAAGTAAAAAAGTGATGGAGGTGGGCCAAAGAAATGCAGAGTAAGTTCATAGTAGGTGTGAAATAAACTCCCCTTCTACTTTTCACTTGCTATGGGTGTTCTCCAAGAATATTCTTCTGGATGTTTTCCTTTGTACCTTATTCGGAGACCTCATCCCTTCTGTTGGCTCTAGTGAGGTAATGACATCTTCACCTCTATTGATGTTAGGTAAAATAACATTAACCCATGGCTTCAAATACCTTTTATCATCATCACTGTCACTGGCACTATACCTATAATCTAGTAGTTGCAACAACATGGTGATAGGGAACATAAGATTGGCTTAAACCTTCTTTAGGGGTTTTTATATTAAACACTGTCACGTTAGATGGAATAAAAAAAATCTAATTCCACTCTCCATTATGATTTTCTACTTTCAAAGTACCCTACTAATATTGATAGTGATTAATTTGAGCTATATATTAACTTTCATACAATTTACCGCATTTCTAATCTTCTCATGTTCTCCAAAGTAATTTAATTTTCCAACACTATTCAATCAGTCCTCATATGTAACAGTATGACTCTTATTTGTAGAGCACACAATGTGCTATGGTCTGAATTTTATGTCCCCCCAAAATTCATATATTGAAATCCTAACCCCCAAAAGTGATGATATCTTTAGGTGCTGCTTTGAGAGGTGCTTTAGGTCATGAAGGTGGATTCCTGATGAATGGGATCGGTGCCCTTATAGAAAAGGTTCCAGAGAATCTTTCACTCCTTCCGCTATGTGAGGACACAGCGAGAAGGTGCAAGGTCTGAACCAGGAGGAAAACCTTCACCAGGATACAACCATGATCTTGAAGTTCCCAGACTCCAAAACTATGAGAAATAAATTTCTATTGTTTAAAAGTCACCAAGTCTGTGCGCTTGTGAACAACAATAATAAAAGGAAATTCAAATGGGTTAATAATGTAGGTTGGCAGGAAAGAGCTCCCTAAAGAAATGACATTTAAGTTGAGACTTGAAAGATAATTGTTACTGATCTTGAATTGTAAATTTGCTTTCCTTTCTAAGTTCAGAGGCCTCCTCCAGGAACTGCTGAACTGAGCTGTCAGGATGGCAGCATCCTTCCTGAGTCAGCCATACTTATCTCTCACTCAATAGCTAATTTAGATGAGGCTCTAAATTCCCTTCTCTATTCCCTCTTACAGCCAAAATCAGGGGAAGAAATTGTTTTGTTTTGTTTTAATTTAGATCTGGTTCAGATTTAAGATCTGGGCTGAATTTTTTTTTCATTTGTGTTTTTTAATGGACATTATAAGCTCAGAGAGGTTTCTATTCTCTAAAAATAATGATCTTCTTCCACCCACCCTCCCCCAGGTTTGTTCCTCTTTTGTATTTAATCAAATTTTGACATTCAAATGGGGTTTTGTTTTTAGTACATTATATCCTGTTTTCTGCTGATAAATATGTTTTCATGGTATAATATCACTTCATGTTTGCATAGCCTATCTCTCAGCTGGAAAAAATAACAGTAATAAATACATATTCCCAGTAACCTGAGGACAGGGATAATGCATTCAACCCTTATTTCTCACAATTGCTTAGTACAATTCTGACCACATAGTGGGGGCTTAATAAATGCCAAAAGAAGCAACTTTTGTTTCCAGTTACTTTTGTCCATATATTCCCAAGTGGATAAATATAGAACCAGTCAAAATCATCGGAGCAAACTTCCCGCTGAAGAATAGCAGTTATTCCCAGACTTGTATCCATTTCGCAGTTTTCCTGACTGACATTGATACAATAAGTACCCTAAACAAGGCAAAATGTTTCCCTTCTTCCTGCCTCTCTACACCTCGAATCTGTGACTCTGGTACAGGAAGTCCCTTTTCCCAGCAATCCATTGTGGTAAAGAGGGAAGAAATACTTTTCTGTCAAAGGGAAGAACACTCTCTTTGAAGCTAGAAGTCGCTTCCAGTCTGGTCTGTAGCCTGGACTTATATGGAAAAACATCCCTCCCCCACGTCAATTCTTGCATACATACTTCAAAAGAATCCTTCTGTTCTTACCTAGAGAGTCTCTGCCTTGAGTCATAGAGGAATTCAGCCTGATCAGATTCACTAACAGACCCACCACCCAGGGAACCCACCCAGAACCCATTCTGGAAGGAAAAAAATGAGACAAGAAAATCGTCAGCTTCTTCAGAATGGAGCTTGCCCCCACACAATTTAGTCAAAAAATATTAAGTGTATACCTTTCTGGTCTCCCTAGGATTGGAAACTTCCCACATTGATAACCAATCAAGATAGAGAAGTTTTACATCATCAGGTGCTAGGTAGAATACTTTCATAAAGTTGTGTTATACCACTCAAGAATTGTTTATCCTTGAAATCACTGACAGTAGTTAAAGTATGTGGAAATGGGCTGGGAAAAAAGGAAAAAACTATCTTACACAGTGGGTGGTCCTAGAAGAATTGGGCAGATGGTTTATTATATATCCTGCTATCCTCATTTAGCTCTGTCCCTGGTCTGTTCTGACCGATACATCTCCCTTCCTACGGGGTCGTTAGCATTGCCAATAGAATGTGTTCATTAAGAAGGAGAAAGTAGACAGCATTCTGAAACATATGCCTTAAGAGGAGTTAGTGGAGGGATTATCAGAGAAGAAATAGAAGAGATTGAGGATAACCTAGAAAGCATGTTTTCTTATAAGGCAAAACAGGGCCACGGGGGAGAAAAAAAAAGAGAGAGAGAGAGAGAGGAAAAAAAACATGAAAGGATTCTCAAGAGAACAAAATGCTGCAAAAATGTTCAAAAGGATATAATATAAGAAAGCATTATTGTATTTTATAATTAGTGGGTCACTAATAACCTCAGTGGGACATGAAGCGTTAAAGGTAGAAGCTATATTTCAAAAGAGTAAAAAGTAAATTGGAAATGAAGAAATAAAGGCAGCTGATGTAAACAGTCTTTCAAGAATTTTAGAAGTGAAAATAAGGGAAAAGATGAGACTCTCACTTGAGAGAAAAGCAACACCAAGTGAAAATTACTTTTAAGATAGGAAAGACCTTAACAAGTTTTTGAGGCAAGTGGAGGACATCTGTAGATATGAGAAATTTAAAATAAAAAGGAAGAGAAAGGAGAAACTTCTCCCCCAAAAATGCCGAGTAAAATCCAAGAATGAGAAAGACTGGCAATCAAAAGGAACAGTTCTTCAGATACAAGAATGAAGACACGAAGATTTAGGGTGAGAAAGAAGGGAATGAGTTGTATGACTTCAACAGACCCAATTTAGAATAAGGTGATATCTTCTGCTAAAAAGAAGCTGCAAGAAAATATATTTGATAACTAAGGAGCAAGACCCCTATTTCACCAAAGTAAGGTAGAAGTGCGTTATCATGTATTTAGCACAGAACTATCCATGCTCAATATTACAGGCTGTATAGTGATTGAAGAGACAAGTCTCTTGTCCTCAAGAAATGTATAACCTAGGTGGAGAGACAGGAAAACAATCTACTGTAATGTCAGGAAGGATGAAGTTAACTTTTTAATGTTTGAGCAAATAGAGTAAATTCTATTTACAAATAGAGTAAATTCTAACAGTCTAGAAAGAGTTCATGATGTTGATATTTGATACAATTGGCCCAAAACAAACAAAGAATTTTAGAATTCAAAATACCCCATACATGTGGATGACAGAGAAAAGATAAACAGTGAAACGAAAAAAGTTTATCTGGAATCCTTTTAAAATTACTAATTATCCACAATAAATAAATATATGCACACTTCGTTGAATGGGAGAAGATACAATAGAATATTTTTTCTTCTTCGCTTCCCTAAAGGAATACATGTTTTGATGGATATGTAAGGTGGGATTATAATGGTAGTTGTCCAGGAGACCCAGGAATACTTAAGTTAAGCCTTATCAAATATGCTAGGATGCCCTTGGGAAAGCTCAAATCCCTGACACCTTATAGTTTTATAGTAAGCTTCTCTGAAGTATGAGACCCAAAATAAGATCTCATATTCCCTCTTAAATTTCATTTGTACCAATAGCCAACTGTAAATCCCGAAGGATTAAGAACTTCCAAGAGTATGAGTAATATTGTGGGAAGAAGAAAGATGATTGGGTCACAAAGGGATTTTGTTCAAGACAGTGGGATAGGATTCAGTAAAGAGAAGTGAAATGCAACTCTGTAACCTTTTAACATACTGTGAACATGCCCTGCCCTGGAATCTGATCTCTCAGAATAGTAATTCCTTCTCTTGGAGATCATGACAGATAGAGTAAAGAAAAAAAATGGGAAGGTGTAGAAGACATCACTAGGATTCACCAGCTTCTTCTACTTCCTAGACACATGGAAAACTACACCTTCTAGTCTCCTGGGACTATGTGACTATTTCTAGTCAATGGTTAATGAACAAAAGGTCCTTAGTCAAAGAATTTAACTCCATTGCATGATTCTTCTTCTCTTCCCTACCAAGTCAACCAGGGCAGCCTTGCGTTGAAATGGTGGAATCAGAATATAAAAGTAGTCTTATTAGCTGAGTCATCACGGAGGGCAGCTACTCTAGAGAATCACCCAAATCTACAGCAGATGCTGTGTCAATGAGAGATAACTTTTGCTTAATTAAAGCATTGGGGGTTGTTTGTTACCACAGCCTGGCCTAACTTAACCTAACTAATATAGGACAGGAAAAAGAATGTTGACCTACCCTCACATCCCTCAGGTAGATTAGAATATTCATGAATAAAAAGCCTGATCAGAGGCCAGGAAATGGTAGAATCTGTATATAAAGCATATGACCCATGATTGTGAGTACTTCCTCTACAAGTGGGTGGTAATGTTGCTCCCATTTGGAAGGGCACGTGTGAAGCTGAGTAAAAAGGCAGCAGTTAAGATCTGAAGTCACTGAGTTTTAACTTCCTCCCTCTTCCTACCCACACCTACTTTAGATTTTCCCATCTATCTTAACTCATTTGGAAATGGAAAAAAACATTTGACTTGAGGGTGAGTGAATGAGGTTATCAGAAGTAGTAAGAGCAGGAGAGGGCACAAGGCATAAGTCTAGGCCTGTTTTCCCTCCTCTGTAGGCAGTACCTTGACTGGGCCTCAGCTTCTCTAGGAGATAAAAGAGAGACCATGGAGAGAGGAAAGAGT